CAGTTGAATTTAATAGTATGGAAATCCGAAAGGGCAGCATGGGATAAGAAAGGGCTGTTACACGGTGGGCTCTAGTACATTAACCCAGGTTGGGATGTTCAGATGACTCCAGATCCCTGATTCCTGTTTGGCCGTGATTTCAAACTAGACTCCGGGGCTGGGGCAGTGACTCAGTGGGCTTGCCATGAAAGCACAAAGACCTGAGTTTAGTTCCCCAGAACCCGTATAGAAAACAGCTCAACAGTTCATCTCTACAATCCCAGGACTGGAAGTGGGGGACTACAGAGGCAGGAAGATTCCTGAACCCATTGGCCAGCTGATCTAGCCGAATTGCTGAACTCCAGTATAAGTGAGGGGGCTACAGAGACAGTCAGCTCAGTGGTTACGAGCACTTGCAGAGACCTGGGTTCGGTTCTCAGCATCTACGTGGTGGGCTCAGAACCATCCGAAACTCCAGTTCCAAGAGATCTGGGGCCCTCATCTGGCATGTGAGAACATCAGGGATGTGTGCGGTGCACATAGATACATGCAAATTGCCAAGCACTCATACACATAAAATAAAAATAAATAAATAAATCTTTAAAGGTAGAAAGTGTCTGAGAAACACACCTAATGTCGATCTTTGGCCTGTGCACAAAGCAATACACACACACACACACACACACACACACACACACTCAACACCACACACAAATAAACAATAAAACCACTAGATATAGCATCACAAACCTATAATCCCAGCATTTAAGGACAGAATGTTGAATTAGAGGCTAGCCTGAACTACAGACCCTGTCAAAACACCTAATAAATACCTGAGGATCTAAGACTTCAGAACCTTATGAGCAGGGTGGTCTGTGAAGGCCCACCTTGACATTCCAGGACAAATTCCAGAGAGTGAACCCTGAATGCAAAGGGCCTGGACACAGCAGCATAGGTTCTCCATCTCCCCAATGTGATCAGAGCTTTAAGAAGGATGACAAGCCTTGCATTACTTTGTATGATCCTTTGTGCCATCAGGAGGAGCCAGGCACAGATGTGGTCCCTATGGTCGGGGAGAGACGGCAGAGATTGCTCGCACCAAGTTTGTGAGAGTGTGCTGTCTGGCTTTGGAGTGGAATGGCTTTGCACAGAGAATGCTGGTCTGAGGCTAGAGAACCTGGAAGCGAAGGCCTTGCCAGTGAGAACTCATTCGTTAATTAAGTCCCACGAGACCTGGTGCGGAACACTTTCACAGGTTGAAAATAGCCTGCCTTGGGGTTCCCACATGTGCATTGGGGCTCTCAGAAGGAATTGAAATCCTGACAGCCACTCAAGTTGGCGTATCTAGAGAGATTGATTGGCAGCCTGCTGTAGTCCTTTGTGGCAACTGAGGAGCATCTGGGGGACAGAGCGGGAAAGAAAGCTCTTGTCCCTACCACCATCACCACCTCTCTTCACTGCGCTTAAAGAAAATTACATTTCCCCATCAGAAGTAGCGTATCATTAAGGGATGTGAATCTCCATGGCAACCTAGGATTGGCTGCTACAAGCTAATGGAAAAAAAGAAAGAAAAGCATCCGGCCAGAGCTTACTACACCCACATTAGCTTAAAATGCCTAGGCTTTTAAGCAATGTAGAAAGGAATATATTTTCTGGACTGACAGCTAGGCCAAATTTTAGAATCGTGAAATTGTAAAAGTGAAAGAACCCTTGCACCTTGCAGCATAATCAAAGGATGCAATTAAGTATTTGCAAGGTCAGCAGGCCATGCTGATAGCTTCCTGATAGTGTGGAGGGGTGGAGTGGGGGTCATCTGTGGAAGGCAGGCTAGGCTAAGTAAAGGGATGGCAGCCTCTGCAGCTGCAGCTGATTGCCCTGTGGGCAAGACTGGCCCTCTGAGGCTTAGTGTGATTTGTGAAAGGGAGAATCTGCTGAGGATGCAGATTCGGGTATGAAGCACCCCCACTTCCGCTGCTCATCACAGCCAATTGAGAGCACATCTGTGAGCTTCGGCTTCCATTTGATTCGACACACATGGCCACCCCTGTCAAACCTGAGGACACTGAGGGCCGGGACACACTATGAGCAAGCTAGGCCACAAGCTCTGCCTCCTGATAGAGTGCCCCTCCCTTCCAGATTGGTGCAGTGAGAGACCAGGGTAGCTCCAAGCAACTACTTTCTACTTTGATTGGTACAAGTTAGCCTTCTTATTGGATATAATTGTAAACACCATACAGATCATTCCCAGAGAGGAAGATGATGTTCTTACCTGTTAGTGTCATTAGAGAGCTCATGAGCAGAGCCTGCTCTGTGCTGCCAGAGGCCGGCCTTGCAGCCATAGGCAGCCTGAACACCCATGAGTCCTCACACAGCACCCTCATTGCCCTTGTCTGTAAACAAGGAGCCAGCGCCTAAGCAGTGATACCCTGTCTTCTGCAGACCACAGTAACTGCTCTACACAAAACATGCACTTCAGGCCATTAGCCATCACCAGCAAACACCTGCTCCCAAGTCCAATGGCAGATAGCCTTGAATTCAGAAACCTCCTGCCTTTGCCTCTGCTGTCTTTTCTTAACCATTCCAAAGGTGTTGTTTATAAGAGTCACTTGGGCCAGGCAGTGGTGGCCCATGCCTTTAATCCCAGCACTCAGGGGACAGAGGCAGGCAGAGCTGGGTGAGTCCCAGGCCAACCTGATCAACAGAGCAAATTCCTGGACATCCAGTGCTACACCAAGAAACCCTGCCTCAAAAAACAAAAAGCAAACAGAAAAGATGTCACTTGGGAAGCTTGTACTGATGTGTGAACAAAAATGAGGATGTGACTGCTCCCGAGCATGGTTAGGGAGTCTTATTGTAGACATGAGGGAGAACACAGCCAGAGCCATGTGGGAAAGGCCTGACCGAATGAGGCGGGTCCTGGCAGTGCTGAGAGCCCATTGGCGGCTTTGATGTGTTAATAGACACCCCAGTTAGCTACTCCTTGTGGGTGTTTTTGAGACCTAATGAGACCTAACAATGTGAGTGTAGTCTGTGCCTCTCCCTTTAAGATCGGCAGCAGACTTTGTCGGCTGGGGCTGGGTGGTTCCACTTTCACAAAACAAATTCAGAGGCTCTGGGCTCTTCTTAGCATTCTTCCACTGCAAGTAAGTTAGCTGTTCACTGAAGACCCTATTGCCTTCAGCTATTAAAAAATTGCTGGGTGGGGGCTGGGGAGATGGTGTAGTGATTAAGAGCACTGACTGCTCTTCCAGGGGACCAGGGTTTAATTCCCAGTACCCACATGGTAGCTCACAACTGTCCCCAACTACTGTTTCAATACCTCATAAAGACATTCATGCAGGCAAAACACAAATGTACATAAAATATTTTTTTTAAAAACTGTGGGGGTGGGGGTGGCACACACCTTTAATTAATCCCAGCACTCAGGAGGCAGAGGCAGGTGGATCTCTGTGAGTTTGAAGCCAGCCTGATGTTCAGAGCAAGTTCCAGGACAAGCTAAGGGCTATACAGAGAAACCCTATCCCAAGCCCCACCCATTCCCCAAAATGAGGTCTGGCAGTTCTTTTAAAATTAAGGGCTGAAAAGATGACCCAGCACCCACATGGTGGCTCACAGCCATCTGTAACTCCAGTATCGGGGTATATAACGCCCTCTTCTGGTCTCCATGGGCACTGCATACACATGGTGCAGTGTATGCCAAATTCCCAGACTCATAAAAGCAAATGGACCTTAAAGAAAAAAGAATATTTAACTGTGTAAATTTGCCCCACAGTAATTGATCTGTTGAAATATCTCTCCTGGAATCATCCCTTTTTTTTGCCACAACTCCAGTGTATTTCACAAGTTTCCTTTGTGGAAATGTAATCCCAACTGTGAGGTATTTGGTGTTGATAATATGCAGGATATTTAGTAATGGAGCCTTTAGGGGCTGATTGGTCATTACCAGACAAGGACACCAAGGTGGGACCTCATGGTTAATATTAGCAGCTTTATAAGGAACGAGAAACTGGAAGAGATACTTTCTTCCCTTATACTTCCCCTATGCCAGCAATAAGACTCCCTGCCATCAGATGCAAGTCCTCACCTCGAGTTTAACCAGGATCCAAATTAAACTTTTCTGTATAAATTATATAATCCCTGACACTTCATTATAATAACAGAAAATTAGTCCAACGGATCGACCTTTTATGTGTGGCTTCCATTTGTCACAAAGGGAAATACTTAACTTTCTTTGAGTAGCTGGTTGGTTTTCCATTAGCTCTGATTTTATAAATCTGTTTTTGATTTCCTTAGAGTTATTTAAATATCTAGTGGTGAAGGGCTGAGACCCTCATCCAGCCCCCTGCAACCATGCCAGGCTGCAGAAAAGATACAGCAAGACATAGACCTCTGACTCAGCAACATGGGTTGAGCCCCTGACCTTGCCCAACCTTGACCTAATCACTAAGCCAGATACCCTCCATGTGTCAAGGAACCAATCAGAAGTTAGGTGACGGGCTCTGGATGTGCGTTTAGGTAAAAGCGATGTAAGAATGACATGCAGAGCATTGCATCCACCCTGGGAGGGCCTATAGGCCATAGCAATCAGTTAACCAATCAACACAGGCTAGGTCACCCAAACCCGGAAATACACCAATCCTGAGACTGTTGCATACCCATAGACACTCACTCCCCTTGCCCTGCCCAATAAATTCCCTGCCTCTCGGCCCCTCTGGGTCTTTCTCACACCAAGCGCTGGCCTACCAAGCGCTGTGTTGGATGGACAAGGGAACCGAATTAAGGCAGTTAACTCATTAAACAATAAAAGACTCTCTGGGCAGTGATGGCACATGCCTTTAATCCCAGCACTTGGGAGAAAGAGGCGGGCAGATCTCTGTGAGTTCGAGGCCAGCCTGGTCTACAAAGCTACACAAAGAAACACTGTCACGAAAAATTAAAACGAAAAAAAAAAAAAAGCCCGTCTGTGTCCTGTTTGCCCTCACCCACCACTGCAGTCCAGGGCAGCTTTGCCTGAGCTCAAAATGAACTATATGCCTGGCACTGCCAGCCTTATCGAGAACATCGACAAAAAGCACTTGGTCCTGCTTCAAGATGGAAGGACACTTATAGGTTTTCTAAGAAACATCGATCAGTTCGCTAACTTAGTGCTACATCCATCTGTAGAGCACATTCACGTGGGCAAAAAGTACAGTGCTATTCCTCCAGGGATTCTTGTGGTCAGAGGAGAAAATGTGGTCCTACTAAGAGAAATAGACTTGGAGAAGGAGAGCGACACGCCCCTCCACCAAGTGTCTATTGAGGAGATCCTAGGAGAACAGGGTAGAGCAGCAGACCAGACTGTAGACAGAGACGCTGAAGGTCCAGGCCCTTAAAGATCGGGGCCTCTCCATTCCTCGGGCAGACTCTGGATGAGTACCGAGTCCCCTGCTCTAGAGAGCAAGGGCTGTCACCTGGTCACATTACACATTTGACAAAGACTGTCATAAGTAAAAGGTGATCTTACTCATTTACATATGCCAACATGAAGAAAGCATGCGATTTTTTAAAAACAAAAGCATTGTATATTTTGTTCTGCTTTTTTATTTCAAACAGTCTCCTTATATAGATAGCCCTGGCTAACCTAGAACTCACAATGTAGACCAGGCTGACCTCTGACTTGTGGAATTACAGGTGTGCTTTATTGTTTAAAGAAACAGTGGTATGGCCCGCCCTCACACAAGTCACTGTGGAGCCAAGAATAACGTCTGTATGTTGCTTGTCTTACCTCAGAGTTTACATTTCTTTTCAAAAGATATTTCTTCATTTACTTGTAAATAAGAATGAATTCCATAATGTCAGATCGCCAAAAAAAAATGAAAATAAAAAAATAAAAAACTCTTGGCTTTTGCATGGGAATGGTTCTCTTGATGATTTGGGGGTTCAGGATTTGGGCACAACAGTAGCTTTTTTTTTTTTGATTTTGTTTCCTTTGAGATAAGGTCTCATGTATACCAGGCTGATCTCATATTTGCTTGTAGCTGGAGATGACCTTGAATTTCTGATCCTCCTGCCTCTACTTTCTAAGTGCTGGGATTACAGGCCTGAGCCACCACACCCATCTTCTACCATACTAGAAATCAAACCCAGAGCTTTTTTGTGAAGCCAGACAAGCACTCTACCAGCTGAGCTACATCTTGAGCCCTCCATTCTTTATTTTTAAATTAAATTTGTCTCATTAATATTTGATTAAGGATAGCAGAATTAGGCATCTACTAAATTTGTCATTTAAAAAAATTTCTATAATGACTGTGTACTCTTTTTTTCTCCATAGCGCAATCTGGACCATATTTTTATCTCACTGGTTTGAATTAGCCACCATCTGCAAAATTTGAAAAATAAAAGTATGAGGCAGGCAAGCATAAGGGAAGCCTAGCAACTCAGACTCCACTCAGCTTGAGCTGTACACACCCCTTACTAACAAAAGCTCTTAGCAACCTGGGACATGCAACACACACACACACACACACACACACACACACACACACACACACACACACACACCCTGCTGTACATAGGCCTTGCTCCAAATGATGCCCTCCCCCACAGCAACTCCTCAATAACTCCCCCCTCTCGGTCCAAATGTATCCAAACTGAGCAAAACATGCTGATCTAGCCTGATCTGGTTTGGGGTGTGCTTTGGTTACTTTTCTGTTGCTGTGATAAAGTATTCTGACAGGAGCAACTGTGGGCTCATTTCCGCTCACAGTTCTTGGGTACAGCCTGTGCCTGAAGAAGTTTATTTCAGCTCAATGTCCATGGCACATGAGAAGTATTTTTTGAATCCCCTAGTGCTGAAACCTGGTAGCAGTAAAATGTTATAGCTTTCCAGAGGATACAGTGTTCAACCAGGGCGAAGACAGTGGCTTTAGTCTGTGGGCTGGCTCTACCCTCAGCACTGTACACTTCCTGTGCCCCTCCCCAGCCAACGCCCTCCTCCAGCCAACACCCACATGCCCAAGCCAAGCAATAATCTATTTTTGTGTGACCTTTGACCTCGTATATTGGTTACTTTTCTCATCGTGTGACCAAATACTTGACAAGAATTTCCAGGTAGAACTGTTTGCTTTGGGTTACCGTTTGAAGGGTTAGTGACAGGTACAGTGACAGGCAGCTCCTTGGTGGGAGCTGCTGCTGGGACCCCACCCGCCTCCAGGAGGACAGGAAGTGCAGCTAGAGCATAAAAACCTAAGCCCTCAGCATCCTACTTCCTCCAGCTGGGCTCCACCTCCTAAAACACCACCAGCAGCAGAGGACCAATGTGTAAACAGATTCACCTGTGGAACACTTCCCATTCAAACCAGGACACCTACTATACTCTAACACAAAGTTGTATTTACGATCGAAATAAAAGTTAAAGAGAATCTTAGCCTTACTTTGTGCAAAGCGTCGTCGTATTTGTGTTTTTTCTACACTATTCCATTGATGCCCCAGGAGGGGGAGGGAATAGGGATAATAAACTGGACACAGAATGCTCCCCCGCTGACCTCTTTACCACGAACTGGGGACACACAGTGCTCTTAGGCTCCGTTCCTCCCTGCTGAAGTCTGTGATACTTGACTTGGTGACAAGGGCAGCCATTAGGGCAGCCCACACAGGAACAGAATAGACATTTCTTTTCTTCACCCGCTGCCGGATTCAGGATTGAGACTTCAGCAACATCCAGATTGAACAAAGAAAAGCACATTATAATCTTTTAAACGTGAGTGTGTGTTTGTAATGGAATCATTCATTGATGATTCCATCACACCGGCCCCATCTTCTCACTCAGCTCAAACCTCTCTGGTGTTGCCCTCAGTGTCCTCTCCCAGCACCTAGAGCTCTGTCCTGGCCTTTAGTTAAGATGCTTTATCAGTCTCAGGACACAAGACTTTCCTTGTTCCTGTTTCACACCTGCTTTTCCTGGTAAGAGCATTTTTCTAAGTGGCCAGGATGTTAGATCTAGTCTTGAAATTCCATTTATTCTAGATTCATTCCTTTGGCCAAAATTTTATTCTTATTTGAAACTTGAGAGTTTATGTCAGCCATACTATCAATAATTAGACCTGGACAGGAGTTCCCAAAAGATGTACAAATGGCCAATATATCTTTAAAATGTTTTAATACATTTAAATCACGGAGATATAAATTAAATTTATGTTGAAGACCAGGGAGATGGCTCAGCCAGAAGAGACACTTGCACAAAGGCCTGGCAACCTGAGTTTGGTCCCAGGATCCCACAAGGTGGCAGGGGATAGCCAACTCCTGGGGGAGGTCCTATGGCCTCCATATCTCTCTCTCTCTCTCTCTCTCTCTCTCACACACACACACACACACACACACACACACACAGCCAACTCCTGGGGAAGGTCCTATGGCCTCCATCTCTCTCTCTCTCTCACACATACATACATACATACATACATACATACACACACACACACACACACACACACACACACACACACTTAATTTTTCTTAATCAAAAAGGATTATCCTGAGATTCCCTCCCATCCCAACCAGAATGGCTGTCTATCATCGAGAAAATCAACAACAAAGTGCACAGGGAAAAGCCCAGGAGACCCCAGCCCTACACAAAGATCTACAGGCAATGAGAAAAGCTGGGAGCGGGAGGGGTGGCCCCACCCGGGGAAGAGCACACCAGCTGGTTATCCAGTGCCAAATCATCAGTCCTGAAAGCATACATACAGATAACATTAAGTGAGCCCTACAGCTTATTCCTAGGAATATATGTAGATACAAATACATTTATGCATGCAATAACAGTTGGTGAAAGAATAGGCCATGTATTTGAAGGAGAATGGGAAAAGATATATGGGAGGGTTTGAAGGAGGAAAGGGAAGGGAGAAACGTAACTAAATTACAATCTAAAAAAAAAAGCCACCAGTAGAGTCATAATGAAACTAGTTTTGTGCACTAAAAAAAATAAAAATAAGAACAAGAGAAGTCAGTGGGGTGAGAGAGAAGAAAATGGCAACAGCTGCTGATGAGATGGCAGGGGAAAGAAACCCTTGTACACGACTTGTCCCGTAAACACACTGGTGCAGCCGCTATGGAAACATCTCAACAAATTAAAAATGAACCTACCATCTGATCCAGCTGTACCCTCCTCAGTATATACCCAAAGGGTTTTAAGTCAGCATACCACAGAGATTCGTGCATATCTGTGTTCACGATTGAATTATTCACAGTATCATGATACGGAACTAGCCTAGATGTCCATCAACAGATGAATAATGGAAATGAGATTCAGAGATACAGTGGGATTTTATTCAGCTATAAATATACCTGATATCAATCTCTGACCTCCATACCCATGCACATACATGTGAACACACAATTTTGAAAATAATCTAATACAAAAATATGGATTTTATTTACATAGATATCTTAGGATTTCTGCTAATAATTTGCATAATATGGTGCAGAACTCTTTTATACTGGCTACTACAGGGTCTTTATTGTCTTTATCTCCCAAGTCTCAAGACAGAGAGAGGATTTCCTCATTAACATCGGAAAACTACCAGAATCACTTAAATAAACAGGCAGTAACAGTGGTCAAATAAGTACAGTTCGTTGACTGGGGGAAAATCTGCTGAGCCTGACTTTTCAAATCCTTTTATGATACTGGAAGAATCTTGAATCACTTTCCTGCCCGTGGATTTAGAAGGACAACAAGCCCTTCTGTCCCAACATGTAAAGGGAGATTGGAGACCCAACACAGAAATCCGAGCCTCCTGAGAACCGCTGGCGGAGGCGGGGCGCTGGCCCATGCTGGCTTTGTTCTTAGCCACCTGCTCTCCAGCTTTCGCATTGAATAAGGAGCAGAAAAAGACTGTGGAGACAGATTTTGTTGTCTTCAGTGGATTGGCTGTTCAAAGAAGTCAGCCCTTACTTGGCGGAAGGAAGATTGGCGGGACCTGAGAGAACCGGGACTCTAAGGTCCTCCCAAGGGAAGGGGACTGTTCCCCTGCTTCCCTAAGGAACTTCCTGAAAGCAGGACTTTGTCTCCCTCCAGATCTCTCAGCGACCTCTGCAGGAGAGAGCTAATCCCTCTCCCTCAGCCTGCAGGGGGGGTAGCTGATACAGTTATAGACAAAGTAGATTAACAAAAGAAAATCTAGTCATCACGTTAATGTGACTTGGTGGTAAAGCAAACACTGGTTAGAATGTACAGGCCCTGGCTTCCATCCCTGCACCAAAACACCAAATAAGGGTCAGGGAGATAGCCCGGTGGGTAAAAGCCCTGGCCAAGAAAGCCTGACCACCTGGCTTCAGACCCCAGAACTCATAGAAAAGCAACTTCCAACTACAGGAAAATGGGAAAGGTTGACAG